GGGGTCACAGAAGATGGAAACACGGCATAGAAAAATCTGGTTTGGAACCAAAACGGCACAGGCAGACTGAATGGCAAGGGACACAGTATTTTTGTACTTGACTTAGACTATACGCATGTATGATGCCTACATTTATGTAGTGCAGAAGGGTCAGGGAAGCAACGTCCAACTACTGTAAAAGCAAAGAAGAAGCATCCACATGCTGATTCATGTACGGTACATAATTTGTTTGGTACTATTTTACTATATTTTCACCGTACATTATGTACTGACCCTCTTGACCTTCTCTGCCTGTCTCGTGGCTATCAACCCCGGAGACGAACATATACGCCGTGTGCTACACCTCACCATGTCCCGAGCCATGGAGACTCTCATGAACAGCCGGTGCTTCTGTATAGAGGTGAGGCTTCCACTCCTAGCCCACGCTTCTGAACTTTTCTGCTTCAAAACGGAGTCTGGGTTTGCACAGAATGAGTTATAGCCCCTTTCGCACAGCAGGCTTCTTCTTCTTCTTTGTTAAAGTTAAAGAGGCGAGACTTCCGATTCAAAGTCCAGCACCGGTACAATTGAGCGAAAAGGGTTCGAAGCCCCAACTCCATGCCCGACGAAAATTCAATCTACAATCGAATCCCTCTATATCTCTCCCTCCCCCCCCCTCTCTGTCTTTCTTTCTCTCTCTCTCTCTCCCTCTCTCTCTCTCTCTCCCCAGCCCAGTTTACAGCAGGGTTTTGTCAATACATTTAATAGAAAAAAGGAATGTCTGTATAAACATAGATCTACTCTTTGCCCCTACCGCCTGTGTTGTACGGAGCTTGCAAAACAATGTACATTTGTCCTGCATCTCAGGTACACGGCACGCGCACGACATCCACTGGATAGTTGTCTGGTGATATCTCCCCTTTTCTCTCTTCCACAAACACCACTGATTGAGGACAAGCAGTTTTCTCTGTTGGCAGTTGGGAGCCCGAAAGATGGACCATCAACTTTTAGACAAAGGGAGATAACTCAGTAAATAACATTGTCCTTCACTTATTCTGGGCAGAATAGCGTCCCTTGATGTTGGGCAGTGAGTGTTGCACTATTGTCACGTGCACAGCTTTACTACATGTATTAAATTGAGATACCCTCTATCGTTGGCCTACCATTACCATCAGCCCCGCAACACCGTCAACTCCAAACTCGTCCCTCGGTTGGCAGAATAAAGGGGTCCTAACAAAACACGTTTGAGAGGACCTAGTGGAGTTATAGTATAGCCGGCTTGTCTTCTTAAATATAGATCTACACATTTTTACGTCACCATCTACACAATTTGGATCGTGTAAGAGGCAGTGTAATGTTGGGGCCCAACTGCCACTGGGTGAGCTGGGGGTACAGTAGTCAAGCAGAAAGATTAATCTACTACATGTACGGTAGATAAAATAAACTTGTATATGCAGGGGTCGAACTCACATCGTGTTACATACACGTAGATCTCTGCGTCATCGTATAGAACGAATTGGCTCGCACACCTTTGCAAGTGTTCATATATATCAATACATATCGTGTAGGCCAATCTGTTGGAGATTTTATGGATTTCTGTGTCTTGTTTTTGAGATAAGAGGGGGGGGGGGGGGGGGCATTGGCAAGCCCTACGCTCTACATGTAAACCCTCCTATAGATAGAATTAACCCCCCCCCCCCTTTTTTTATTTTTTAAACCGGTTTTTCTGGACCCCCCCCCCCCCCCCCCCCCAAAAAAAAAAAGGGGAATTATTAAATAAAGGGGGGGTTTTTTTTTTCTATTTGATTTTAGCATATTTTCATTTGTACTACTTTCTTCTTTTCACCCTGTTTGAGGACTACCAGAGGTAATAGCCTACATGCAATAATAATACGTGATTACTGGTATGCGCTAAGGTGTCCACTGGATGTCCCACTATTTCCAGATTGACCTCAACGACAGCATCCAAACGTGGTGCAACACGGTGCTACAGCTCAAGTGCTCCGTGCTAGGGGGGCGCATCATTCTCACTAACGGAGACGCCGTGGAATCTTGCTGTGATATCGAAAGTCCTGCCAAATGTGTTCTGTGTTTCCCTTGTTGGGCGTTCAAAAGGATCAAATATATGGTATGGCTAGTTATGTTTTACTCTTGAGCATAAACCACGCACGACTCTATAGCTCAAACTACACACACCTCTTTAAATTTAAATTAGCATAAACCACGCACAACTCTATAGCCTAAACTACACACACCTCTTTAAATTAACATAAACCACGCACAACTCTATAGCTTAAACTACACACACCTCTTTAGCATAAACTACACACAACTCTTTAAATTAGCATAAACTACACACAACTCTTTAAATTAGCATAAACCACGCACAACTCTTTAGCATCATACTACACACAACTCTTTTGCATAAACTACACACACCTCTTTAAATTAGCATAATTTTACATCATAGGGGATTTCAACTTTCACTTTGATGTTCCATCTGTTCCAGACACCAAACGCCTTGTTTCAATTCTTGATGATCATAATCTACAGCAGCTAATCAAAGAGCCGACACATCGTAGTGGTCACATTTTGGACCTGCTAATTACCAACACTGCTGACCAACATGTTCTTAAACATCAGGTTTTAGATAAGGCTATCTCTGACCATTCTCTTCTGATAGCTAACATTAACATCTCCAAACCAAAACACGTAAGAAGAAGCATACTTTCAAGGAACACGAGAACAATAGACACACAGGCACTTCGGGACGACGTGAGCAAAACACTGACAAGTCTATCCTCCCTAGATGCAGACACATTTCATGACACTCTCAAAGCGGCAATCGACCAACATGCGCCAATGGTAAAAAGAAACATTTCTTCGAGACCCTTTTCTCCTTGGTTTTCACTTGAAATCAAAGAGGCCAAGAAACATCGACGTCAGGCAGAACGCAGGTGGAGGAAATCAAAACTTCAAGTTCACAGAGACATCTTTATTAACCACCGAGACAAAGTCAACTCAATCATCGAAAATAACAAGAAAAGATACTATCTACATGAATTACAAGATGTTAAATCACCCAAACAACTCGTTCAGACTACCAATGCTATTCTGGGAAAAGAAACAATATCTCCTCTCCCCTCTGCAACATCAGATGACGAACTTTGTAGTTTATTTGTGACTTTTTTCAATGACAAAATTAATACCATACGCTCTTCTCTCGACCTAGAGCCAAATGGAAATTTGGAATTTTCAGAATTTACTGGACAAATATTAGATTCTTTTAGTCCAGTTACAAGTAGTGATATTTTAAATTGTATTAATGGGTCAACCATAAAAACATGCGACCTTGACCCAATGCCTGCTCATGTATTCAAAACCTGTATTGATATTGTCCTACCTCACATTACTCAGATAGTGAATATGTCACTTGCCACTGGCACAGTACCTAATACTTTCAAACAAGCTATTGTAAAACCTTTATTGAAAAAACCCGGGCTTGATAAAAATGAATTTAAAAACTATCGACCAGTTTCGAATTTGCAATTTGTCTCAAAAATTCTAGAGAAGATTGTTTTAAGTCAAGTTTTGTCTCACATGAGAAAAAATGGTCTTGAGGAAATTTACCAATCTGCCTATAAAACTCATCATAGTACCGAAACTGCGCTTTTAAAAGTAACGTCTGATTTATTGGATTCCATTGATAGCAAAAACATCTGTCTTTTAACTCTTTTGGATCTGTCCGCAGCTTTTGACACAATTGACCATGCTATTCTACTCACAAGACTTGAGCGCTCATTTGGCTTATCGGGTACTGTGCTTTCATGGTTTAAGTCATATTTACTAGAAAGAGTTCAGTCAGTGCAAATTAAAAATAGCTTTTCAAAGCAGGTCAGGCTCGATTATGGAGTTCCACAGGGGTCCGTTCTTGGACCAGTGCTCTTTACACTATATACACAGCCCTTAGCAAGCATTTTACAAAATCATGGATTGAATTATCATTTTTATGCCGATGATTCCCAAATGTATGTTAATGGCACCATTCAAGATCTACCAAACATGATTTCCATCACTAAACAATGTTTTTATGAAATCAAAAAGTGGATGACAGTAAACAAATTGAAACTAAACGAAGAAAAGACAGACATCATTCTTATAAAAAATCCACGATTAAATAAAGATCTGGAAAGTGTCAACTTTGATTTATATGGGCATATGACATCTAGTAAAGAAGTTGTCAGGAATCTCGGTGTATATATTGACCACCACTTATCAATGGGCTCGTTTGTAGGATCTCTGTCCAAATCCCTTTATTTTCAGCTGAGAAGGATAGGCCTAGTTCGAAAGTACTTAAGCGAAGAGACCACAAAAACACTGGTAACATCTCTTATCCTATCTAGATTAGACTATTGTAACTCACTCCTAGCAGGTCTGAACAACAAATATTTGAATCGTTTACAAGTAATTCAAAACAATGCCGCTAGACTGATAACAAGATCTAAAAAACGAGACCATGTCACTCCATTATTAAAAGAACTGCATTGGCTCCCTGTAAAAGAACGAATAATATTTAAAATCTGCGTCATGTGTTTCAAATGTGTAAATAAAACTGCTCCTTTTTATCTGCAAGAACTTATCAGTATATATAAACCAGGGAGAAACCTAAGATCATCGAACGATAACACCCTACTTGTGACACCTGTAAAATCATACAAATCATATGGAGAGAGATCTTTCTCATATCTTGGTCCATTTATGTGGAACAGATTACCCATGAAACTAAGACAAATAAGAACACTTGATAGCTTCAAAAGACATCTTAAACATTTTCTGTTCCTACAGGCCTATCCTTCATAAGCTTTTTAACGTTAGCTTTCATTATATTTGTTCTTTTCCTATGTCTGGATGAAAATAGTCTCTGTGTGTGTGTGTGTGTGTGTGTGTGTGTGTGTGTGTGTGTGTATGTGTGTGTGTGTGTGTGCATTAATGTATATTGCGTGAGAAGAAAGGAAGTAGTAAGAAAGGTTTTTGAAAAATGGGTATTCCAATGTAAAGCGCATTGAGCTACTTTTTTTGGAAATGCGCTCTATAAATGTTATATATTATTATTATTATTTTTATAAACCACGCACAACTCTTTAGCATAAACTCCACACATTGACTCAGTCAATTACCTCCGGGAGAATGGCCTGGATCTTGTGCATCTGCGACGGGGATTGGGGGGGGGGGGTAATTTAATAGCTTTGGTATCTTTTGTTTGGTGCTGGGAAATGAAGTGGAAACTTAGAAGACAGAAATAACGGTTGCATTAGGGAAGATCTCGTTCCCAAAATGAGCCCTTTCCGTAACTGATTATATTAGTTTATTACTACGGTACGTGTAGGCTGTAGGCCTATTACCATAAACGAAACATTTAGTCTACAGATTTGTTCCCGTCACTTGACCCACAAAATGCGCAAGCATGAACACAGACTAACACTTACTTTTGCAAACACCACTATTAGATCAAAGTCTTCAGCGTGCCAACTCTTACCTTAAAGGGGATGGGGGGGGGGGGGGTACACCTGGGGGCTATCTCGCTTATTACAGGACCGAATTTTACCAAATGTCAAACATATAATAAGCATAGTAAGGAGTCTTAAAATCCGCAATCAAATTTGAGAAAAAAGTTTCGTTTCCATGGATATGCCGCTATGTTGGATTTTATTGACATGTCTTACGTAATGAATACCGCACTTATCGCTCATGGATATTAATTTTTTTTTTTGCATGCGTGTTTACAAACATTAGATCTAAAAATGTGTCTGTTGTTTTTATCCTAATCGAATTAGAAAATATTTAATGAATTTTTTCCTGAGGTAGCATTCAAGTTTGCGAAAAATCCGTGAAAATCCACACTCCAGACACCACCACCAAAAATCTATTCCATATATCAAAAATTCAACAGACAAACTTTTAGTATTACCTCTTCTCTTCATCATTCTGTGAAATTTCATGAAGATTGGATGAAAAATGGTGGAGTTATTTTAAAAAGTATAGAGAAAAGTCGTATTTTGAGAAAACGGCCGATAAAGAAAAATAAAATACTGACTTTACGAGGAAATGGCGGTTACAAACATGCCCGGTATGGGAAAAAATACGGTTTTGGGGGGTTCTTATGCCATGAAATAGTTGTAGGAGAGGCTGAGAAAACAAAAAATGCCTACAACTCAAATTCCATGATTTTGAGCCGAGTTTTGATTTTGGGGGTGTACCCTCCCCCCCCTTAAGATGAAAATGGCCAAAGCAACTCGTTCCAATGATATAGGTACATGTATTGAAGTTGAAGTACTTTGAAGGCACACCTTTCATTCTCCTTTCGAAAGTCTGGGCCACGTGTTCTGCTTCTTGGGTTGTCTTTATATCATAATTTGATAATCCCATGCCCCAAACCTGTAAAAATGTTAAATGGTACTAATTAAACGCTTTTGAGGACATGTACTACAACAAGGTTTAAATAAAAGCATCTGCCCCATACATGATTTACGCTTTCTCTTTTCATTGTTGACACTGGTAGGCCTACATATGTAACGAGACCCGTTTTGTTCCACCGCACAGATGGAGAGGCGGCGTCGCTACGACGACACGAGGATAGAGTTCGAGACTTCCAACATCGTGCTGTGCACCAAGTCAGATACCCTCAAACAGTACTCAGGTGAGAGGGCGACCAACAAAAGACATGGTTCGTTTCGGAAAAAGGTGGAAAACTCCTTCTTGGGGGGAGAAAAATATAGGAATCGGTGACACAATAATTGCACTTGTATCTGTAGGTATAATATGTACATCAGTACTGGTACATGTATTACAAACCACAGCGAGTGAGACAAAGTGGAACAAATCATTTAATAAATTTCGAGTGAAACGTGTCAGTCAGCCCCAAGTATGTACTTTATCATCAAAATCTAAGAGAACTGAAGGTAAAAAACAACGTAGTCTTGCCATAGGTCGGCCAAGTGTGTCCTAATGCTCTAGTAAACATGAATTTAAAAAAGGGAGATAGGGGTGAGGTGGGAGAGAGGGAGAGAGCGAGAAAGCGAGAGAGAGAGAG